CTACATAGAAACTCGGCTTTGTTTCATTCTAGGTACTATAATTTTATTTGTGTACACACACCTTCATGTCCCATCATGTAATGGGAACCTTTCAAATAATTTGGATCATTGAGATATTGTCTCTGTGTTTAGGTTTTTATTTGAATACATTCTATAATTTCTTTTACATGGTTATAGGTAATAGTAATTTAACAGTTTAACTGAGTGAGGTGCCAGGCATGATGCTAGGTAGTATAAAGATGAATTAAACACAAGCTCAGACTCAGGAAACTGGTGTGTACATGACCAAGTATTTAGGGCTATAATAGAGGTATTATAGCTATAGCAAGACAAGCAGCACAAAATTCCACATGTGAATTATTTTGACTTTAAAGGATGAACTATGAACTTTTCAGGCAGCAACGAAGTTACAGAGTCACTAAAGCCCTTGGAATTTTAGAGGATTGTTGCTCAGTATCCAGAATGAAGAGTGCGTGGTGGCTACTGACTGGAAATAGACCAGAGTGTGGGCTCCCTGGTGGGAGCAATGGGAAGTCATGGGGCTTTTCCAGGAAGGAGTGACATGTTTAGATCTGTGTACTTAGAAACTTACTTCAGGCTCCAGGAACAGGGAGACCAATACTAAAACTTCAGCTCTGGAAAGAAAGTTTAAAACTCGGAACAGACCCTAGGAATTGTAAGAAATGGTTAGTAATATTAGAAAGGGGTTGAATATAGAATCTGTCAAGATTGATTTGAAAACTTTCTCTAGATAAATTTAAGGAGTATTCTTATTAGCCTTTTTTTATGTCATTTTGTCACTTGAGGCCAAAGTCTTTAGAATGCTTTAAGTATGGATTAACTTCAAAATAGATTGTATTTTTTATGTTTTGCATATCATTTTGGACTTAGACTATATTTCTTGTATGAGTTTTGTTACAAAATAAGGTCATCAAATACCCACAAATGGGAAAGGTCAGTCACAATGGAAGGAGATCCAGGTTTGGAATTAGAACACCTGGGTTCAGCTGGTTCTTGCCATTTACCAGCTGTGTGTTTTGGGGGGAAATACCTTTTTGAGGCCCTGTTTTTCATTTATAAAATGGGAATAAATAACAAGGTTTTTGGAAAATGAAGAGTTTTTGAAGATGCTTTGTGAATTTGAAGTCAAATACTATTATGAAGTATGCATGTAAGGGAAAAATGTAACATAGATGGGAAAATTTTTCTGTAGTCAGGAAAACATCTTGCAGTTGTGGAAGAGCAGCCTGCAGGTGACCACAGAGGGGCAAATGCAGAAGCCCACACTGGCTTCCTGGGGCTCTAATACTTTGAGGAGGATAAAGAGAGCAAGGACAGTGGGTCTCAAACTTTAGGTGCACTAGAATCAACTGGGGAATTTTAAAAGTGCAGATTCCAGGGCTCTACTTCCCAAGGATCCCCAGGAGGGGTCTAGGAAGGGCCCAGGACATCTGAGTAGGGCTGCTGGAATGGAGTGATTGGGAGAGGGGAGAAGGTAAGAGTGGGCTGGGCTGAGGTGCTGGTCAGAGAGGGAATGAGGTTTGGGGGCTTTGAGGATTGAGCAGAGCAGTTAGGGCAGTACCCTCCATCTGGTTTCTTCTCTGTCCTCCAGCCTTCCTTGCTGCAGCCCTATATGGGGGTGGGGAAAAGGAGCCGTTCCCTCTCCACTTGCCAAGGACAAGAGACTTGCTGGAAAGAACAGTGGTCGCCACTGCCCCTGGGAGCTGTTGCTGGAACAAGGGGGAATCAGGACAGCTGAGGGAAGGGAACTGGGGCCTGGGGTTAGATCCCTGGTGGAAACCTGGCCCCATCACAGGGAGTACCTGTGCTCCAGGGAGAAGGACCCAGGGAGGGAACTGTCTACTGGGCTAAGACATCCGGAGGCTTAAGCAGCTGGCCATATATAGATGAAGTGGCTAATTTACACAAAGTAAATGGAGACTTCGCTGTGAAAAAGATCATTACACACCCAAAATTTAGGTATATTATGTGGATGTGATTTGGGATTATTTCATCCCCCCCCAACCCCAAATTCAGCAAACATTTAAGCATGCTCAGCTTCCTGCTAATAAGTACTATTTTAAAGTTCGATAAAACAGTGTTTCTGTCCTTAGGGAGTTGCAGTCTATTTTGTTTAAACAAGATTCTAATAACAGGAGAATAATTTTCAGTAAAGGGTCTTTTCAATTCCCATAAGACTGAAAATTGATATAATGTGGCACATAATCTGGTATAAAGTTTCTTTAATCAGAATGAGTTAATGAAATATCCCAGTATCTAATTTAGTTTTAGAGTATAAGCAATATCTGTGCTTCCAGCAAAATTATAAGAGTCTTTCAAAATTCTCAGCCATAAGGTTTGCGATGCTTTGAATTGGATTACAAAGCAAACCTTTTCTTGAACACTGTTTTCTTATAAAATAGGTCTAGTTTTTTTTTTTTTTTTGAAATTTATAGTTTTTTTATGTTCTGGATTTTTTAAATGCTGTATTTACATCAATTCCTTAGAATCCCAAACAATGGCATATGTGTTAAAGTGGAAAAAATTGACTTACCAACTTTGTTACACTTCCAAAAAGACATAGACAGGGTTGATAATCACTGGAATAAAATTAGAGAAAATCATTTGGTATATGCTTTTCTGTAGATGAGAAGGCAAGAAGAGCTCTTTAGGGGTGCCTTCAGAAGTTTTTTTATTTTAAGTCTCTATTCTTAAGTTATATGCTCACAAAGCAGTATTTGCTTTACTGGGACTTTCATTTTCAAATGACATATATGAATGTATTTTAATTTTTAAATAAAGTATATCTCTAAATTTTTATACAAAATTTAATAACTTTTATAAAATGTGCTGCCTGTATTAACAGATGTAATGTAACACTTTTTTCCCTTTTATCTTTAAAAAAGAGGGAAGGAAATAGGAATACTTTAGAGTAAAGGAGGCCTTAGTCTCATCTCTTCCGTTCCTCTTCTACAGAGGCCATGCAGTGCAGGACAGAATTCCTGAGTCTAGCTTCCCTTTCTTGGTTTACCTGCTATGTGTTCTTGTACAAGTTGTTCAACTACTCTGTGCCTCAATTTCTAGTTTGTATACTGGGGAAATATTTGGACCTACCACATATGATAGCTGTGATGATTTATTGAACTAGTCCAAGTAAAGCACTTGTAAAGTGCTGCCTGTGTAATAAGCATTCAAATGTTAGCTGCTTTATTATCGTCATCATTATTGTTATCACTAAATTGAAATGAACAAAGGAATTCAAATCTTTGGACAGATTATGAATGGCCCTGGAGACTAGGAAAGAGTGCCATTCACTTGCCAGGAACTCCAGGGATTGTCTACTGTCTACTGTTAGTGCTGAAGGGAGTCAATTTAAAGGAATTAAATTAGGAAGGTACCAAAGGTATCTTGTATCTCCCATCCTTCTGAGAAATTGTGGTATTTTAAAGACATAGAGGGATGATGACTTTGACAAATCTTATTTATCATTCCAAAATTGTGATGGTCAAAGGCCAACTTAATGGCACAATGTGAAATGTATTGCTGTTAAAGTCAGCAGAAGTCAAGGATGCCTTCTTTTATCAGAATTATTTAGTAGTATTCTATAAGTTATCATAAATGAAAAAGAAACTAACAGTAAAATTGTAAAATAAGAGCAAAATTATCATTTGTAAATAATGTTTAAAATGGAGAATTTTCTGAATAAATCATTCTTCTCTCATTGAATGTAAATGCCATCATTGAGAAAATAAAGGCCAAATTTTATTATCGTGGGTTGAAATTTTTAAAGATAGAAATCAAAAGCAAATAATAGGTTTGTCAATAAAGAAAAAATTAAAATTTCAAAAGCTAAAAAATACCTTATAAAAATGCAAATGACAAACCAAGTCAAATATTTGTAACTTCAGTGATGTAGAAAGAGTAACTGTCTTTTGTAACATTATCTCTAAGGCAAAATGTATTTTTAAGTTAAAAAATATAAATACCACTTCAAGGATAAGACAATAAGATCTGAGCTATTTGGTTTTCATTTCTCTCTCTCTTTCTGTCTCTCTCTCTCTCTCTTTCTCTCTCTCTCTCTCTCTCTCTCTCTCTCTCTCCCTCTCCTCTCCTCTCCTCTCCTCTCCTCTCCTCTCCTTTTTTTTTTTTTCAATATTTTTGTAGAGATGGGGTTCTGCTATGTTGCCCAGGCTGGTCTCAAACTCCTGGGCTCAAGCCATCCTCCTATCTTGGGCTCCCAAAATGCTGGGATTACAGGTGTGAGCACCTGGCCTGGTTTTCATTTCTAACAGTATTTTCATAATTCAAAAACATAATTCATAAACTTTATTTAGTAGTTATTTAATCAGAGGCCTGCAATCAGATGTATCTTGTGATACAAGGAAACCGAATGGTATTAATACTTTCTGGGGTTTCATCTTAATATGTTCTTTGTACTCGAATAGAGAGCAAGCTATTGATTCTTATGAAATTGATTTTATTAGCTTTCTTTCTCTTTTTTTCCTCCCTCATTTCATTTGAAATTTGTTTAAAAACAAGAGTAAGGTTTATAATAAATTTTCAAACATTGCAGTAGTATGTAAAAATGGTAGTTCCTTCTTTTTTCCCCCACCCCCAATCCTGTACCCCCAAGCCACCATATTTCTTTATTCTAAGTTATCCTTACCTATGAGTCTAGTCCTCTTGGTTCTATTAATGGTAGTTTTCATCTAATGGTTCCTGTATAGTATCTGGCAAATATTAGGCCTCATATATTTTGTTGAGTAAGTGAGTGAATGAAAATTGTAGCTATATGCTTAATTCCCTTATGGTCCAGTCTACTGGAATTTTAAGCATAGCCTTGGGGCTTTTTTTGAAGAACCAATATTCTTTCCCTAGTCCCTAAGATTCCAACATTTACACATCTCAGTATTTGACATGCTTATCTTGACATGCTTTTCTGTAAGGTGAAAATACTTCTTTATGCTAAAATAGTAATGTAAATTTCTTTTTTCTTCCAGCTGCCTTTGCAGCAGTGTTGCACTGGTAAGATTGCTTTTTCTCCTATGGTATTTTATGCAGATGTTTATAATTTTCCAAAGCTTTTCTTTATACATTTAAAGGAATAATTTCAGCATGGTAAGGATGAATATATATTCATCTATCTATGTATATATGTATACATATATATATAAATACATGCAGCACAGTAGTCTGAAAAAGTAGTTTAATTGATAAATCAGGGTCAGAATAATATAATCTTTTTAATAAAAAAGATCCATTATTAAAGAGGCTATATTTGATATTCTGCCTCACTTAACATTAATATAGTATTCATGTTACAAAGAAGATTAATTTTTTTAATCTTCTGGATAGAGAGAAATATGAATTTCATTAGATATTTCTGAAATGTTGACCCAGTGACATTTATAGTTTAATCTATACTTTTATTGTACTTCACTTAAAATACCATCATTCTAGTTCATTTTAATTTTAAAATCTAATTTGCATGTGTTTTTTTAATAGAGAGAAATTTAGTAGAAAAAGATGTACTGAGTGGAAAACAAATATGGATACTATTTTATTTGGGTTTTATTACTACATTGTCTGCAATAGATACTTTGATTTTTGCTTTTTAGAGTTACTTTTAAAAATAATACTTAATGTAAGTTTTAACACTGTTGCTTTGTTTTGTTTTTCCAGGAGCCATATAACACATCTCTTTGAAAATGATCGTCATTTTTCTCACCTTTCAACATTGGAAAGAGAAATGGCTTTTCGCACTGAAATGGTTAGTTTTTATGTGGTATTTTATTGTAGTACGTTAGGAATTAAAAAAATATTAAGCTTTTTGTCATGGAAATTTTCAAAAAGATGTTCCAAGTAGAAAGAGTACATAGCAACCTCCACCCCACTCTCCTGCTTCTACAACTGACAGCACATAACCAGTGTTCTTGTATCTACACCTTCACTCATCCATCTCTTTTTAAAGGATATCCCAGACATTGTATCATTTCATCTATTAATACTTTCATAAATATCTCAGAAGGCAAGACTCTTTTTTTGTTCTTAACCCTGGTACCATTGTTATACTTGAAAATAATTAACAATAGTTCCTAATATCACCAAATAAAAATCTGTGTTTAAATGACCTCATTGGCTCTTTATTTATGCTTGCTTTTGTTTAAGCAGTTGGTGTGTTTGAAGTAGTATCCAAACAATATCTATAAAACTGCATTTAGTTGATATATCTCCTAAGTCTTTTAATCTTTATTAAATAAATTACTCTTCCCATTTTTGTTTTGTTTTCCTGCTATTTATTTGTTGAGGAATCCAGGTCTTTTGTCCTGTAGAATTACCCACAGTAATTCATATTGTTTATTATGTTTATTTGTCCCAAGTTTTCTGAAAATTGGTGAATTAGAGTTTTGATAGCTGAAGAGTTGACTTTTTACCTGGCAGGAATACTTTCTAGGTTGTGTTGTGCACTTCCTGTTGTATCATGCCAAGAGGCATACCATGTCTAGTTGTCTCACTTTCTCTGATGCTAAGATTGATCAGTGGTTTTAGGTGTTGTAATATCAATCTCTCCATTATAGCTTAGTCATAAGCCTAGGTCAGTTATTTAATTATCATTGGCAAACTATGATTATCTATTCTATCATTTTTTTCTTGTACTTATTAACTATAATTTTCTCTTTTTTTGTTGTTAAGAGACTGAGTCTTACTCTATCACCCAGGCTGGAGTGCAATGGCACAATCACAGCTCACTGCAGCCACAAACTCCTGGACTCAAGTGATCCTCCTCCTTTGCACTCCCGTAGTCTGAGATTGTAGGCATGAGCCACCAAGCCTGTCCACTATAATTCTTCTATAAAAAAACTTTCCCACAATACCTTTTTGGTTTCCTGATGTATACTTCATAGAGGAAAGATAGGAAAATACTTGATACTTTCTTTTTATGTATCAGTTTTCAGAAAAATGAGTACACTCTGTATCATCTTCTAGTGGTGACCAATGGAGTACTTTCTGTTGGTATGTCATTATCATGTGATGGATTTTAACATATTTTATAAACTTCTTGTCTTTAGCTAGTGAAAGCCTTTGTGGTTCACCCTGCTTGCTCTTGATGTGACTTTACTAGTGTTCCATAGCTTGCTTTCTTTCAAGTACTATAAGACATTTTCTTCCGAGATCTAGGGAAGAGCCCCCATTCCTTTCTGTAGCAAATGGTATTTAGAGACCACAAGAGTTGCTCATTGCTAGATTGACCATTGTGTCAAGGCCTTTTTAGTGAACGGAATTAGGAAACAATTTTTTTTTTCAAAAGAAAGTAAATCATAAATTTACATTCATATTTTAAAATTGAAATTTAGGATTAGATGTTTTTTACTTATTTAATGTTAAACTTACATCTTTTCTCTTAGTCTGAGTATCTTGGTTTCAAATTACTGTTTGTTTTGAATAAAAGTACCAAAGGTATTATTTAAAAATATGATTACCAAAAACAGTTTAAGAAATTTTCTTGCAGTTTGTTTTGGGCTAGGATATATTCCACTAAGGATATACAGTAAAATTACTATATCTTAAAGTTACTTGAAATTCTCTCCTACCTTCATAAATAGTTAATTCTTTTATTTTTATTTTGATATTTAGGGATTTTTATTTGATTTATAATTAAATAAAACATTTACATTATTCCCAAATCAAACCTACAAAACAAGGTAGGTGTAGTTTCCTGGGACTACCATAACAAAATATAGTAAATTAGGTGGCTTAAAATGCGAGAAATTTATTCTCTCATGAGTCTAGAGGCTACAAGTGGGAAATTAAGGTGTTGGCAGGGCCATCTTGTCTCTGGAGGCTATCGAGGACAGTCCTTTCTTACCTCTTCCTAGCTTCTGGTGATTGCTGGCAATCCTTGGCATTCCTTGGCTTGTTGATCTCTGCCTTCATTGTCACATGGCTTTTCCCCCCATGTGTCTGTCTTTGTGTCCAGATTTCCCTCCTCTTGTAAGGATATCAGTTGTATCAGATTAGAGTCTGCCTTAATCCAGTGTGACCTCATCTTAGCTTGATTATATCTGCAAGGATCCTATTTCCAAATAAGGTCACATTCACAGGTTCTGGTGGACATGAAATTATGGGGACCACACTATTCAACTTAATACAGTAGGTAACATTTTAAAAAAATAGTGATATGAGGACTAAAACACTGCAGTAGTAAGACCATATTTTTCTTTTCAATAAATACCCGGGTAGGCATATTACTTTTGTAATTATGAGCCATAAAGGCAGTTTAGAGTTTGGTAGCTAATGGTACTGGCTGCCAGGGCAGCTCTAGGTAGAATTGCATAGAAGTTTGAATTGTTTCTTATATTTATCTGTCTTCCCTTATACTGCTACACATCCTCCCCCCTAGGCTTCTTGTACTTTCTTGTTTTTCACTTAATGTATTATTCCACCCTTGCTATCTTTTCAAAGTAGCATGTCAAGCTAAAAAATTATCTCTTTTCCTCAAAATAGGGCCATCCCCCACATCCCCTCTCCCACAGGGTTCTTACCTTATACTGACTTGATAGCAAGGAGAATGATCTATAAAATTAGTTGGTATCTGAATGAAATTTATATGTATTAATACATCATCAGGTAGCTACCTCATCACATTTGGAATTTTGCATGTCAAGCTGGAGGAAAAAATGAATGATCGTGTCATTTGGGGGATTCAGATAAGCAATGGGGGGGGGACACTTTGGGGAAGATTTCTTGGTTTATGGTAAATTTTAGTTCCATAATAAACCACTCACCCTGTTCATAAGATAGCTTTTTGTCACACTTATATTAGTATGGGATATAGGATTTTCTTAGGTGAAGTGTGCTGAGTCATGTTATTTTTAAATGTTGAAGCTATTTTTGAAGCTATTTTGCTTTCAATTATTTCAATTAAGACAAGATTATATGAAAATTATATAGTTTTTTCATCTTTAGAATTTTTCAGTGATCAGAAAACTATGAAATTAATTGTAGCTATTACTTGTTTTTTTAAAACTATTTAAAATTTTTTTAAACTAAGAAGAGTCAAAATAATTATGTACCTTTTATTATAACTAGAGCGTATCCTTATTTCAGGGGCTTTATTATTCCTACTTCAAGACTATTGTGGAAGCACCCTCATTTTTTAATGGAGTCTGGATGATTATGAATGATAAACTGACAGAATATCCCCTTGTTATTAATACATTAAAAAGGTTCAATCTTTACCCTGAGGTAAGTTACTTTTTCCAATTGTGATTTTTCACTTTTTAACTGTTTTTTTATATAAATGCTGATTCTAAATCTAAGCTATAATTCAACATATTAAATTTTATTTCATTTTTTAAAAGAAAATATGTATCTTAGGGAAGAACATGGGGAAAAGATTATTATTGATTTGGGGGGGGGCTTTAACTGATTCTATAGGAACTTCTATTGTGATTGTTTAGAAAATGCAAAAACTTGATTCGGTGTGCTTATCAGGATTACAGTAAGGGAGTTCCATTACTTTTACATGTCATTTGCCAAATAATGTTTCTTCTCTTTTTAGGATTCCTCATATAATTGAGTGTACTTTCTTGGGTTAGGGGTGGGAGAAGGTCAGCCTATCTAGGAAGTAAGGGGGGAAGGGAGTGATATTTGGTCTCCCCTTTACCCTCCTTGCAAAACTATAAATTTGTTGATGTGGAACTGTTGAGTTCAACAGAATATATACTTTAATGATTTTAGTACATGCTAACAAAATACCTTCCAGAAAGGTTCTACTAATTGAAATCTCTACTAGCAGTTTTAAAAATATTTGCTTATTCATGCCTTTTGTCTATAATAAATTTATTATGTTTATTTATACACAGGTGTTACTATAATGCTTTATAGATAAAAGAGTTTTTCATTTGATTTTTAGCTTTGTGTATGATGTGTATGTATTTTTTTCTATACAGAAATATCTATGAATTTAAAAAATTTGTTTTTCTTTTGTACATACATGTAAATAATCTATATCCTCATTTTAATTATATTTTTATGTTTACATTTTTAATTTATCTGGAATTGATTTCGATGCATAGTGTGGGGTAGATATCTAACTATATTTTTTTAAAAATGCTATTCTGTGTAACCTAATACTGATGAGTGGTCCATTCTGTTTCCACTGATTTGTATTAATAGTAGCTTTTTTAATATGCTAAATCATTGTACACATAGCCTTGCATATGTTTTTGGACTTTGTGCTCAGTATTGCCTTAGGTTGAGGCCATAGACAGTGGACTTTGAGATGGAGGTTTGCATAAAGGAAGTATTTGTGGGAGTGCCCTTGGGATCAACAACTGGAGGGGGATGAAGGAAGCAGGATGAGGCAGGTGGAAGAGTTGAATTGTAATGCAGTTTATAGTGAAGCCCTCAGTTAGTCCAGGGGAGTTCTGGAGCTGGGATGGCCCTGCAGAGTTGTTCTGCCTTGAGGCAAGGGCCCTTGGCCTTTATATCCCTCCCAGTTGACTAGTTAGTTATTGGATATAGGTTGCCCTTGGGTAGGGGTGTGCCCCAGTGAATTTACTTTCTTCAGCCAAGAGCCCTTCCCAGAGAAGGACTTAGCTGAGAGCTGTCAGTTACCAACCCTCTAGGCATCTGGAGGAATGAGAGCCTTAGCCCAGAAGGGGGGCCTGGGTGGCTCACTAGTACCTCCACCACAGTTAGACTGATCTGTCTGGCTGTTCCTGTGCCTGTATCACACCATTTTAATTATTGTAAGTAATAAGTTTTAATATCTATTAGGACATTCCCTTTAGTTATTCTCTTTTTGTTATTTCTCTAGTTAAATTTTAGATACTCTTGGGATTTTGATTAGGATTGTTTTAGGTTTATGAATTAATTTGAAGGAGAATTCACATCTTGGAAAACTAGGTCTTTTTAAGTAGACCCAGTACCACTCTATTTGTTCAAATCTTCTTTCATGTCCCTTAGTAGAATTTTATAGCTTTTGAAAAACATATATCTTGCAATTTTTTTGTTGTATTTTATTCTAATCCATGGATGAGCAGTTAAAGACTGACCAGTGAAGAGATAGGAGATTCTCAGCTTCATTTTACTAGATTTAAAGGGAGCCAAGTGAATGGTACAGGAAGGGGAAATTTGGTAATTATTAAAACATCTCAAAAATATTATAATAATAAAAACTGTTTAGAATAAACAATTTTTCTTTTCTTATGATGCCTCTACTTTTTTAAAAAATAGGTAATCTTGGCCAGCTGGTACCGGATTTATACCAAAATAATGGACTTGATTGGTATTCAAACCAAGATATGTTGGACAGTTACCAGAGGAGAAGGACTCAGTCCTATTGAAAGCTGTGAAGGTAAGCTTCTTTCTATGATATTGTTCAGTTATCTATAGTAACATAATAAACATATACACCCAGCGTAATAAACTTAGCCCAAACTTAATGGGATAAGCATCAACCATTTTATTTTGCTTGTACATTCTGTACATCTAAAAGTTGGGCAGGATATAACAGAATTAATTTGTCTCCATGATATCAGGGGCCTCTGCTAGTAAGACTCAAATGGCTGGGAAGACCGGAATTAACTGGAGGCTGCTTCACTCACATTTTGGTTCCTGGTTGGGGTGATTGTGAGGCTGAGCTCAGCTAGGGCTGTCTACTGGGACACATACATGTGGCTTTTTCATGTGACTTGGGCCTTTTTACAGCAAGGTACCCCAGAGTAGTCAGGCCTTTCCTATGGCAGCTCAAGGCTGCAAGCTGTGCCCTGCATGGCCTCTTAAGACCTAGCCTCAAAAGTCATATGGTATTGCTTCTGCTGTACTCTGTTGAAGCAGTAACAAGCCCAACCGGACTCAGAAACAAGGGTCATAGACCTCATACCTCTGTAGGAGGCATATCAGTGAATTTGCAGCCCTGTTTCAAAACCACCACAGCTACTACCTTGTTCTCTTCTATGTTCTGCAGTAGTGCCATTTTTCTACATGGGAACCAAGGCAACCATTTAATATATCTGGCAGCCATTTTCAAAATAAACACAGTTTAATGTAAATTGCTAGACACATAAAGTAATTTATGATTAGAACATATGTTTTCTTTATTTTTAAAGGATTGGGAGATCCTGCTTGCTTTTATGTTGCTGTAATTTTAATTTTAAATGGACTAATGATGGCATTATTCTTCATTTATGGCACATATTTAAGGTAAGAGAATATTTTAGTATGTGTTTATAAGATATACTGGAATAATAAAAATACTTGATTAGTTAATAGTTAATCATTGCTTAGCTGATGGTTCAGTTTTATAACAATCTCATTCCTAAAATATCTGCTTACAGAATTATTTCACATTTGCATAATTTCACCACTGGTATGGCCAACTGTACCAATGTTGTTTTAGAGGCATAAATAGAGCATGGTGGAGATACTTGATAAATTTTAAATATTTATAGGTACTTGCACATAAATAATATATATTATTTATATAAAATATAAAGGAAAAGACCATTAGCAAATGATATGAATGACTCTTTGCTAATGTTAAAATAGAAGCATATTCTATACAAATATTTAATATCTAACCTGATTTACTTTACAGTTGAGTAGTATTTCTAAAACTAAAAGATTGACTAATCTTTTTAAGGGTTTTGATGTCTATTTTTCTTTGTTTTTTTTTTTTTACAATTTATCATGCTGTATATGTTTGAACTATTTTACCTTGAGGGTATCTTTAGAATTTTCTTCATTACTGCTTCCTGATTCTTTGTAATACAGAAGTATGAACATATGTATATGATTTTCAACTTGGGATAATGAGTTTGCATCTGCTATTATCCCGTTATCTTCTTTGCTTTGGAAGTATGGCATTTTCAGTTTAGTGCCCCAAAGATCTGTTGAGTTTCTAGCTCAGTGTTTGAATATATAGCAGTAACTTGAGTATATAGCAGTAACTTGATAAATATTGTCAGAGGAGAAAGCTATTAGAAGATAAATTTAAAACATATTTGCATATAGATTTAAGATGCTTTGATGCTAATATTGCTGACTTTGGTCTAAGAAGATTTTTTTAATTATCTAATTGGGGAGATTAAAATGGAAATGCATGATTAAAAGATGATGTGAAAGAGTGAAAGATTTTGTTTTTGAAATAAGAGACAAAGAAATAACCAAAAGAATATGGTAATCAGGAAAGGACGCTGACTTAAGGGAAAGTGGGCCAGTATGCCTGTATAATGAGCCTAAGGCATAGAAACTTGATGGTATATATTCATTTTGCTGTTGTAATATGATGGTATATATTCATAATATGATGGTGTGTATTCATTTTGCTGCATTGTACTGCCCGTCTGTCGTATGGATAGCTTTATCGCATTTGGGAGATTAGATTTTAAATAACAGAAGTTATAATGTGAAATATTTCATGATTGCTAGGTTGCTAGTCTATTTATACTACTTTTTTTTTGAGATGAGATCTTGCTATATTACCCAGGCTGGAGTTCAGTAGCTATTCAAAGGCATTATCATAGTGTATTATAACCTTGAGCTCCTGGGCTCAAGGGATCCTCCTGCCTCAGCCTCCCTAGTAGCTAGGGCTACAGGTGTATGTCACCATGCCCAGTTACTTTTTCAATTGAAAGAAGAATTTCTAAACATTTTCTAAAGAAAACATTCATATTGTTTTCTTATAATTTATAACCTTTGTTTCAAAGGCAGAAAGCACAACATCTGCTGAACAGAATACAAGGTTCTGGTTTTGGTTGAGGGGTTTTTGGTAGTTTGGGCCTTGACCTGAACTTTCTCGATCTTCAGCCCCGACAGTGCCTGGTAGAGAGTTCTCCCTATTTGGGAGATGCATATTCAGTTGTTCAGTCAACACATAAGTACATATTAAGTAGTTTCTTTCTTAAGACTGTGTTTGGGCTCTGAGTGCATGGGATTGGGGAGAGTGAGAAATAGAGGTGGTAACAGAATGTGTGTAATGGAAGATAGGAAAGAAGGATAAAGAGTTCAAAATTCCATAGTAAAGAGAAATTTGCTGTGTGAAGGGGCCACTTTAGCGTGACCTTGGAGAATCAGGGGTATTTGGACAGGTGTAAATGAACAATGAGGAAAAAAAACAGCCCAGGGAGAGACAACGATGGAAAATCTGGGTCCTGGGAAGCAGGTAAAAAGCAGGTCAGTTGACTGGGATGCATGTTCTTGAGGGGGCATTGTAGAAGATTAGCATTGGAACAGTGGCTGGCCTGGGTGGTGAAAAGCTTTTTGATACTAGGATGGTTTGAAACCTGTGCTAAAGCAAGTGGGGAAAAATCAGAAATTTGGCCAGTACAGGGACAGGAATTCAAGCTGAGCTATGATCTCATGAGACCCTTGACTTTCACCAGACCCCAAAGTCAAGCAGTGACTACTTCAGCACAGCGTTTGTCAAACTGCATGACCTATTACGGAGTTTTAAAATCAATTTAGTCAGTTGAGCCTGAAAACAATACAAACATAAACAATAGCATCTACCACACTTAATAAGGGTAGATATTAGAGAAACTTCTATTTGCTATATGTATGTGTATATGAATGTATACTGAGCTGTAGTATAAAGTCGTATTTCTTACTGTAATTTTAGTGTAAAAAAAAAAAAAGTCTGTAGACTACTGCTTAAGGTGGCACGAGGGAACAACTCATACCTTACAGCATTTGGTTCTTTCCAAATAGCTGTCTCTGGCTCTTTTCCAGTGCCAAGGCCTACAGCTGATTTCAGCTCCTTCTGCTTGACTGCTTCCTGCCTCAGCCAACCCCCTGGGGGTTGCCCAGGTCTTGTACCCTGCAGTAGTCCACACTTGCAGCACACATTTTCATTTTTCTAACTCTTCTTCTGCTGTTTGTGGGCTTTTCCTTAACCCTAAATAATCCCTTTAGCTCTTTTTAAAGGCATCCTGAACTCAAGGTTCTTCCCAGGCACTACCCATCACCAATGAACTTGCAGTTTTTGTGCATAACGGAGCCATTTGTATTCTCAGGAAGCCTTGACTCTTCCTTTGCTCCCTGAGGGCCATCTTATAAATAGCCCTCAGATGCTGATCCTGTGTATATCATATTGAATAATGTCTCTTATCACTTCTTTTCTACTGGTTTTCTTTGTTGCATTTTTGTATGTTTTTCACATGAAGTATTTTTAGACGTTTCAAATTACTAGTTCTTAATATTTTCTTCCTTAATAGTTTAGTCACCCTTCTAATTTTATGAGTGGGATAAAGCTTCAGACTCCTTATGTTTGGGTTAAAAATAAAGAGGAGGATAACTAACATTGTGTTTAGATTTTTATTTATAATTGTGTTCCATAATTGAGAAATCAAAGTTGAGATTTGTCTATTAGACTGGAAGTTTGCAGGCAGATTAAGTATGACAGTTTTTAATCTAGAAGTATATTTGTTTTAAAATAACAGATAAAAGATTTTAGAAGCCAGATAAGCTAGTCTATTTCATCAGAAATGGAAGTAGAAAAAAAGCCATAATCAAATGGTGAATGGGCTATGCTGGCAAATTCTAACTTGAGGAGATGCAGTGAGATCTGTTTTGCAAACACAACTTACTAATGCTGGAATTCTCAGTATTATAGTATTTAAAAAAATACTCATTGTTAATTTTTTTCCAAGTTGTATTGTTAATTCATAGTTCGTTTTTTATTTCATAAGATACTCTGATGTTTCTAAGCCATAGATTAACAGTTTCTGGAGGCCAGTTTCTTAACAGGCAGTGTGTATAAATCTCTGTTCTGCAGGGAGGAAGGAACTTAAGAGTGGTTGCTGGGCATTTAAACTCCCCCCGCAGTTTCTTGTAGGGGAAATTCATATGTGCCTAAAATTCTCTTATTGTTAAATACCAGAGTCTTTGTTATTGGACTCTAAGGCAGATACCAAGCAAGTAATACTAAACCTGTATTCTTTGCAATTTAGTTTTTTTTTTTTTTTCCCTGAGACAGAGTCTCACTTTGTCACCCAGGTTAAAGTGCCATGTTATCGTCCTAGCTCACAGCAACCTTAGACTCCTGGGCTCAAGCAATCCTCTTGCCCCAGTCTCCTGAGTAGCTGGGACTACAGGTGTGTAGCACCACACCTGGCTAATTTTTTCTATTTTTAGTAGAGAGTGGGGTCTCACTCTTGCTCAGGCTGGTCTCAGACTCCTCAGCTCAAACAATCTGCCTGCCTTGGCCTCACAGAGTGCTAGGATTACAGGCATGAGCCACTATGCCTGGCCTGCAGTTTAGTTTGATTTTAGTATTATTCTGGAATTTGAGGTTACCTCTAGCTAGGTCATTGTGGAGAAAGATTGGATAGTATATTTGGCTATTAATTGTTTACCCTTAGTGGTGTGCTGGCACATTGTTTAACAGCCAGCTCTCTGGCAAAAATGCATACATACATCAGGTTTATTATAAATTTTTCCTGCTATAAAGGATGTGTACAAATAATAATAGGATTTCTAAACAGGATTTTTTCCCCTTTCTTTGTGGAAATAGACTACCAGAAATACTCTGACTAGCTCAAATAACAGGGAGTACAGTACTGGGATACAGAGATCTTTGGATAAAGGGATTTTGTTTAAGGCTCATTCATCTGTTGGTGTTAGATTTTTCCCCACTTGCTGCCAGTTATTCTTTAGTTGTCTCTGTCTTTGGGTCTTTCCTTCTTGATTCCCTCTCATCTACCCAGAAATGCCTTCCTCTCTTACCCTCCCCTCTCAGAGGACTAAATTGAGACAGAACTGTTTAATTGGACTCCCCTTGCATACCCTTGTCACCCCAATCTGGTCTCCCGTCCCTTCTTCCACTCCCAGCAGTGTTCCCCCAGCAGAGATGGCTGGTCTCATCCACTTCTCCCACCACTCTCTTCTTACAGTGCTTACCTGTAAGCCAAACCATTGGTTACTTGGCTTGTTGTTGATCTTAGGATGGTAAAAATGTATAAAACCACCCAAGGTTTTCACAGATGAGTGCTGTGGCTGACCTAAGAGGACTCGCTTTTTTTGTGCTTCATTTTCTCTTTAGAGTTCTCCCACTGATAACTGTTGCCTCCATCTTCAGAATTCCTGTACCTCCCTAAAACTGAAGGATGCACAAAAATTCGTTTCCCATATCTCTCAAGACAAGGGAAATAGGGTAGAATCATAAAAGCCCTTAAGTCTAAGTATGATTTGCAGATCTTATGTTA